ATAAACTTTCTTTATAGCTGTTTTCAAAGCTATGTTTCATTAGTAACTGATCAAACTACATGATGTGGCAACCAAGATCAGTACAGAAACAAAGGGAAAGGCTTTAAAAATCCAGAAATGGGTAATATATTCTCAATTTTTAAAGGGATGATAGGTTCTTAGTAAAAACTTGTTTTTAGGAATGAGCAGAAAATATCTAAAAAGAAAACATTGACAACTGGGTGGTTTACAGATAAAACTCTTTGATGCTGCATAGAAATGAAGATAATAACTTTTTTTCATTTTTCTTCATGAATTACACTAAGTAAATATCAGAAAATGTTAATTCTAAATTATTTTTGAGCTAGAATTGTAGAAATGAAGTTAGAATTGACACATAAAATTGACTTTACTATTTGTGTCTCAAAATAATTCATCAAGTGGCAAAAAAAAATGAAAGGCCAGAGGAAACCCTATCGTTAGATATAAGACTGTAGAATTAAGTTACTTTCTAGTCCTAAACTTTATACATAAAAATATATTATACACCCAATGCAACTGCACAGTTTAATGTTTAGAAACAATGAAGCACTTTTTCACTTATCAGTCAGTTTTTGTAACAATACTTTCCAGGCTATTTATTTATTCAGTATTATTTTACATATTCATAAAGGTTTTTATGTCAATTTTTGAGTCTTAAGTGTCGTATCTATAACTATAAAGTTAAGCTCTATAACCAATCAAGGGAAGTGAATAATTATAACTCATTTTATTTATTAGGCAAATACTTAGCCATAGTAAAAGCCTAATAATTTTGGATGTTCTTCAAATAGCCTAAGATTAAAGTCAAACAGCATAAAAGTTAGAACATCAACAATTTATTTTGTAAAATAAAATTTTTTATTTTGATAGTTATAACTTTATGTTACAAAGTTTGAAAAGGTAATGAATAAGAATAAAAGTAGAAAGACTATTCAGGTAATATAATATTATTGTATTAAAAATAACAATGTTTAACTTCAAACTAGCTACAGTAGCATTTAATATTTACAATGATAGTATGATATAAGTTAACCTTTTGTTTTCAAAAGTTAACTGTCTAACACTGTAACCAAAAGCATGATTTACAAGAAAAAAGAGGATTACACTATTATAGATATATAGTATTTCGAGTTAATAAATGTTGGTAAATGATTAGCTCAGTCAAGTTATAATCCAGTAGTTTTTGACATATATCACATATAATTCAAGGACAGCAAGAGACGTGTCAGTCCATCTAGGCCATTCCATCCACTAAACTAAACTTTAAAATAAAAATGAAACACTCATATGCAGACTTTATTATTTCAATGTTTATCAAGCCTTCCCTTGAACTCCCTATAATTAATTGCATTACTACATCTGTAGGCAAACCATTCCAAAGGCCAACCACCCTTTCAGAAAAATAAAACTGTCTTAGCTGAATGTGACAACTACCCTGAAAAAATATATATTTGTGTACCCTACTCCTACTATTCTCACCATTAAATATGAAAAAAGGTGATACATCAACATTATTAATTCCCTTAACAATCTTAAACACTTCAATCAGATTGCCTCTTAACTTTTCTTTTTCCAAAAGAAAACAATTTCAGAGATATTAATTTTTCTTCACATGATAACCTTTCCTTCTTAGGTGTCATCCTAGTAGCACTCCTCAGAACCATTTTCCAAAATTCAGTTTCATTCATAAGATAAGACAACATGATTCTCCAAATGTAGCCTATCCAGTGCCCTATACAATAAAATTATAACCTCCTTAGTCTTGTATTCAGTGCTTCTGTAGATACAACCTAAAACCCTATTTGCTCTACCACTAGTAATAGCACACTGCTTGATGGCTTAAGAGACTAATCATCCACTACACCAAAATCCCTTTTTTTT